GTTATATATTAGTAGCAATCTAACGGGTACGAAGTCGCGGGTAACAGCTTTATGATGTATAGCTTGCGTGTTTTCCTAAACTTCAAAGTTATTTTATAACTTGCCATGATCAAACATATACATTTTTTATTAGTAATTATATATAAATAATTATTTATTGAATAATATACCATCATGCGTGCCTAATTCGCATACCGGAATTTACAAATGTCGACCTTGAGGTGACTGTACTAATTAAATTGTTGACATAGTTGTTTACAAATAATAGTATAATACTAATCCACTAAACTAGTTATATTTTTTAACTACCTAGCAATGTTTTACAAAAACTAAAAAAATGCATGAAACCGCCAACTCCATTCGAAAGAACGTACTTTACATATCAAGGTACCATTTCTTAAAACTGATCTTGTAACCAAAGAGTTTCAAGACTAAAATATAGTTAATAATAGTTAAGTAAAAAGTTTTGAAACCTTGATCCAGGAAGAATTTACGTTTGTATTTGCTGGATTTCACTTGTACATGATAATAGTAAAACCTACATAAAGTTCCGATAACCAATCAAATAACGAAATAAAGTTTATACGTCCCGCGAAGCCATATAACGTATAATGGATTTTCGGGTTCCGTATTTTTCAATATTTTTCCACACAAATAAATACGATTTCTGTTAATTGATCTTCGCCAAACATTCACCACAGAAAATCGAATATGCTGTAGATCGGCTAGCCTCTTACCGCTAAAACTTGTTCGCCTTCTAAGAAGAGAATCTTAACTTACTAGAATACCATCAGTTTCTCGTGATCGATTAAATAAACGAAATAGCATAATATATTAACGAATATTATCCCTCATACGCATCCAAACAGCGATTTTAATAACTCCGAAACACAATAAAACATAACATTAAAGTGAAAGTTTCAATGCCATGTAACAACAGCGTTACAGTTACTTGAATACTTATTACGAAAATTTGATCTGGAAATATTGTAGTTCAAAGGCCTAAATAGAAAGCACGCGAGGGCCTCTCATCTTGGATACAAAAGCTGGTGTGACCAGTTTTGAATTTGAATAGCGAGTCAGGGCTATTTCTGAGATCACTAGGTAGTATAACCATCATTATGTCCCGTACAAGAACCAAACGATGATTCACTCCATTATTATTCTTTGGAGATACAGATCAGGCTTCAGTGGTTGGGTACATGCTGCGCGCATCGGGTTTTGGTAAGAACACTAATCACTGGTCCAAAGGGTCAATATTTTTAAAGTGACAGAAAAATATTTCATGATCAGAGGATCAGAACCATTTGGAATTGCTAAGCGAAAACTGAATTCTAGCAAGTTTAAAATTACATTTTTAGAGTCGAAAATACTAGATCCGATTTTTTCAAAATAACTCGCTTTCTCTCCCTCCCTCCCTTGTACCGAATCAGACACCAGGGACCTGATCCTAATTGACTTTCGAGCATTGAAATTAATTTCGTTGTCTCCTTGCCCTCATACATAATGACTCGCTATAATAATTTTGAAGCTGTCATGATATTTTCGATATACAAATCGGTCAGAATCACGTGTCAAAATTATCATTGCGTGAGTCGTATAATCTATGACAGCAAGGTAACATCAAAATTAATTTCAAGAATCGGTCCCTGAACTCTCCAAAGCACACTTTGCAGTATAGCAATGCCGTTTCGTATAAAACTAAAATGTCAACCAGAAAAATAAACGCCAGAATAAAGTGACTCAATACAGATCAGTCGACCATAGAGGTACACAAAACCCAATGGCAAATGAGGAAGTTTATTAAACCAGGATAAAGCCTTTGGACTATAATTAACATATTTCCAAAAAAGATTATTCAATTATTTATTACATAAATTTCTATAAATATATGTCCTAAAACGTACCATTATCAAGATAGAGGATGTTGCTAATTTATGACTCCGGTAATATACTTCATAAAATGTTTAATGTCAAACTTTGCTAATTCAAAGTAAAAAGGAATAATGTTTTTTTATTTCACTTCAAATATTCATACCAATTTTTCTCGAAAATGGGAAGCATCAGAGAGGGTATCTGTATAGAATCAAGACCTGTATGCAAAACTACAATAACTGCTTTAAACAAGTTAGTCGCCTAAAAATCTTTTTCCTTTCTTCTGCAGGGGTTCAAATATCACAGCTTCTACGCCATACCGTAAGTGTCATTTGAACCGTGGACAATTTTGTATGTATTGGTTCTGTTGTCATTATTGAATGGGCAAATGTACATTTTAAAGTAATAACCATATCCCCTCCGGAGATGCACTTTCATCATCTCTGAAATTATAATTTCAAAGCCCTGTATCTTAGTAAATTGTAGTTTAGGGATTCATACTTCACTTCCATGTTATTGTTGGACTACTTTTTGTCCCAGAAATATAATATTTTCAGATACTGAGGTTTTCATTCAGGGTTAGTCACTAATGTCCTTATTGTCAGTAAGACGCCTCTATGGCCTCCTTGAGTTTCATAGTCTTTTCTCTCCTTCAAAAATTTCTAGATTGCACCCGTTCCGTGTGAGCGTCAGCGTTCTCCTATTGTGAAGTTATATTTCTTTTTGAATTGTAGGAAATGTCAGCCTGATAATATATGAATTAAAAGCATGAACAGTTTGATGCAAATAGATATTTGTGACCTCAAAATAGAACGCTGACACGGAAAAGTAGAAAACTATGAAAATCAAGGAGGCCATAAAGGTGTATTACAATTATTGTAGGAATGACTGATGATACAGCCCTAAGGCACAAAATATGGCACTGCATTTGGGCTTAGTACAGCCCTGTTCAGTCGCCTGGTACCGAATCGGATCTTCCTTCATGAAGACAAGTACATCCTCTTACACCTTTACCTGTGCCTTTATCAACAGGTTATCTGAATATCCTTCGAAAGGTGGGCGACAGGTACCAATTACAGGTGGCACCATATTTTTTTCTCTTCAAAGAATAGCCATCCCAACTTGACCCACATATCAAGATGCTGGATGAGAATCAAAAGTGTCTTACTATTTTCTTACTGATCGTCTTGAAAAAACTTACCTTTTAACGGAAAAATCCTGCCCCTCAACACACAGACAAGTCTTCACAACAACCACTGACTGATGATGTTTTCTGTTGCCGTACTGTCGCCTGTTTATCGATTTCACTGCATTCTCGCACGATATTCACTGCAATCCGTTTGCAGACGGACTGATTTAATTAGGGGTGTAATGTGCGAGAGGTTTTTTCTTCACGCAAGAACTGACAAAAAAGATTAATAATACACAGAGGATCGACGTGTCTTCGACAACAGAGGCGCCGCGCGCATATCACCACAAACAATCGAGGCCGGACGGAAATGTCAAAAGTGACGTAACTCTTTTGAACAGCTGATTAACTGCAGCGATGCCACGGTGTGACAGAAGTTCTACAGACTTGATACATTGTGAGACTTTTGTACATAATAATTTGAGAACAAGATATAGACACCACAAAATATATACACTTACACAAACAGCTCTCAAGAATTATTCTATAAAACCTCATTTTTCATATCACTTTTAGGTTTTATTGAAGGTAAAGAAAAAGTGCTTAAGGTTTTCCTACAGTTTTACGTGGCAAAGGCGGATTTAGAAACCTGTCTGAGGGGGTATTAGGGTGTCCGCCTTGGCGAATACCTACGATTGAAAATTGAAGAACGATGATGAGAAGGCACATCACCAATATGTCTTTTATTTGAATAAAAAAATGCAGGCCTAAGCGTCTGGCGGGTGGGCGCGCACCCCCTCTAAATCCACCAATGTTACGTAACGGTAGGTATATTGACAGGCTAAAGAAAACAACGTTATTTTGGAATCTCAACAATGTGCCTCATTAATTCGAGAAACACCTATGACTTAGCTTTCCTTCACTTGAAGGTCGTTTGTTGATCTATTACTTTTTCTTTTCTTTTAGAGTACCTATATTGTCCATCAAAAATTCTCTTTGATTTCTACTATTTGCGATAAACGGAATTACAAGGGAGGTGAGACTCATATGGGAGAATAGGAAACAACGGTGCTGCTGTTGCACAATATGACAACTATGGCACACCAAAAAATGGCGGCGATTCACTATAATTGACGTTGTCTGATTGGCCAGATTTAAATTTCGGGCGGGTTTCTTTCTCATCTACTTTCCAGTGATTTTTGATTTGAGAGTGATACGCCCCCGAAGTGCACCAGAAACGAGAATCGGTAAATGAGAGTACAACATGCAGTGGACCAGTATTGGTGCTGAGCATTACTGAGATACTCCGAGTTACTCAGAGTAACTGAACAGGGTCATAGGAAATCCACTATGGGTTTTACAAAAATAACCTTACTTTTGTGAACATGTCAGTTTTATAACATTTCATTTTAATTCAATAAAATCCCTATTATGTTATCTGAGCTATATGTATTTTGTTCAGAGTTGTGAACTATAAAAATGGGTTATTCTCTAACTTAGCTACACTAACCTTTTTTGTTCCTGGGTTAGTTGCAGAATATTGTTCATATTTATTTAGGTTTTAAAAGGTATAAACACCTTCTTAATCACGACACTTGCAGAATGGAAGGGATCCTATACATTGCATAGCAGCTCTCCTTTTTGACTAGCATTTGTTCCTCTTTGAGTCGCGGAGCGTGTGGCTACTGCATTAGTGTACGTGCACATACAAGGCGGATTCAAGCGAGGCGTAGCGTTGCGAGCAAGGCGGAAAATACAAACTAATATAATTCAATGCGAGGGTGCATACTGGTGTCGAGCCGTAGCGAGCCGTAGCAGGTCGTAACGAGTCCGCGGCGAGCGATCCGCTCCAAAACAAATCAGTTTGTCTTTGAGCGTTGGAGAGGACGGATTTAATATGGTGGATATCGAGAAATTGATTAATGAGATATTCTTGCGAACCCCTATATGGGATCAAACAAATCATTTACATCATAATCGTGATGTAATATCGAAAATGTGGCAGGAAATAGCAGCTTCTTGTGGAATAACAAGTAAGTAGTAAACACATGTTCATATAATGATATAATTTATTCATAAAACATTATATTGAAACGGGACAGCGCCCTCATTATTGAAATACTGCATAAAACAATTCCTTATATCCCTAGCTTGTTCTGTAGAACTATTATTTTTCCTATTTTTCTTTGAATCTGTGCTTTCCTTTGGTTCTTCTATTAGGGCAATACCTTCTTTATCAATAATTATATTGTGCAACACACAAATGCAATTAACAATTTTTTCGGCATTTTCTGGAGATGTTTCTATTGCTTTTGTTAAAATACGCCATTTTGCAGCAAGGATTCCGAAGGCACATTCGACAACTGTTCGTGCTCTTGAAAGTCTATAGTTGAAAATTGTCTTCTGTGCATCTAAATTTTTTCGTGGATATGGTTTTAACAAATGATTCAGAAGTGGATAGGCTTCATCTCCTAATAAAACATATGGTAGCTTTGTATCTGAGTTTGGTAAATTACGATCTGCTGGTATATTTAACTTTCCAGTAACTAAATGCTGATATAAAGCACTTTCTCGAAATATTCCACCATCTGATTGTTTACCGGAGGCACCTGTGTCGATAAAAATGAAGCGGCAGTTAGCATCGGCTACTGCTTGTAAAACAATAGAGAAATACTGTTTATAATTGTAATAACTTGTTCCAGTATTCGATGGACATCTTATTCTTATATGTTTTCCATCTATGCACCCAAAACAATTTGGAAAATTCCACTTCTTATAAAAATGTCTGCTTATCTCTAACAAATCTTGTTCCGAAGGTATCCCAAGATGAATTGGTTGTAGTTCCTCCCATATTGCGGTACAAACTTCTTTCACTATACTTGCTACAGTCGAAAACCCATCCTGAAAGAGTCTGCGAGTGCTCTATATGATAATCCAGTAGCTAAAAACCTGAAAAAAAAAATGTTTAATTCAATACTCAAGTTTCTTAGTCTTATCCATCAATCTAACTCCTAATTTTTTTCATATATATATATAATTTTTATTTTCAGTTGAAATTGCTAAAACAAAGTGGAAAAACCTGAGAGACAATTTTCGGGCAGAAGTGAGAAAAATAAATAAAGGAAAATCAGGAGACGCTGGCGGCAGCCAAGCAGATCATGGGTCCAACTGGGTGTGGTTTAAAAACCTGTTGTTTCTAAAGGATCAAATGGTTTCAAGAAAAATGAGCAGCAGTCTTCAAAGCTCTTGCACTGTCACCACTGGTCCATCATGCGCACTGTCTGAAGATTCGCAAAGAGATACGCAAGAGATAGATGATGTCACAGAAATTGAAGAAAATTCAGAGATAGAAGGCCAAACTCCAGCTACGGATCAAGATACACCGACCGGATCAAAAACCAGTAGTTACACAAAAAGAAAGAGGGGCTCTGGGATTGACTATGAATTGTTTTTGTTTCTTGATTCGCCATTCTACTTTTTCTAAAATATAAGAAAAAGTACTCTCCTTCATCCGAAAATATCTGTAAAACCTTTCGGAGTCTTCTTGTAAACTTTTATACAAATGAAAGAACTCTCCAAATCTTTCTCTCGAACGATTGATGTTATGTGTCCAAAATCTTCTTTTCTTGGCTAAACGTCGTTTTATTAGAGGATTCTCCAATAATAATAATAACGCTGTATCCATCGCGACTGTTCACTGACTACTGTGGGAAAGTGATAAAAATTCCGCCTTTTCAAACGCGTTCAATATGCACAGCAATCTCTAGCGTTCGGTCTCGCATCGCTACGTATCGCAACGACTCGCTCGCTTCCTCTTGCTATGTGCACGTACACTTAGACGTTATGTAGGGTTGTTTGAAGTTCGACATCATACATACAAATATAATTATTAATATACATCAACACGAGAACCTATGGATGAAATCTGGCAACATCGCACAGTCTTTGAAAACAAACATTCAATAAAAACCTATTATGTAGTAAAACATTTCAGAATTCAGATCTTTCATGTTTGCGCTCATTTTTAGTCCCATTTCTTTCATCTACACCCAAAAACTAGGGTCTGACATCATTTTTTCATCAAAAACGGCTGGTGTAGCTAAGCTAGAGAGTGATCATATAATAGCTTGTGTTATTGACATTGCTGTTTTATCATACAAGGAGCACTTATTTGGTAAGATAGCGCAAAATGTTATAACACATGCTGTTCAGGTCTTCCATATTCCACCAAATTTCTATACCAAGTGATTATCCAAGATGGCTCACTCCTATAACTTATTTATTATCTAAGATAGAAAAACGAAACTTGCAAGATGCGTATTATAGATGAATTTACATTTTTTGACATATTCACTTGCTTTGACGTACTTCCGGTTTGACCAGAAACGACTTTCGGTTTCAAAAAATGGATCACCTATATATTTTTACTTATTTCGAATTCAACAAAGCCTGATTCGTCAATCTGTGACAAATACGAGCCCCTTCCCACTTCAGTTGGCCCAACTATTGAAATCTTAGTTTTTTTCTTATCAAACACAAATAATAAAAATGTAGCAGCGTGTTATAGGTTTAAAATATTAACAGTGAATATTTTGATAATATATAGTAGAAAACACCAACTTTATCACTCCCTAACCAAATTTGCAGCATAAAAATAACACATGCCTTAGGCCCGTAACGTCAGTCGTCCATACAATTGTAGGGCGCGTTTATGGCCTCCTTGATTGTCATACTTCTTTCTCTCCTTCAAAAATTTCTAGATTACTCTTGTCCCCTTGTCAGCGTCAGCGCTCTCCTATTGTGAAGATATGTTTTCTTTTTAAATTGTAGGAAATTTCAGGCTGATAAAACATGATATAACTCAAAAGCAAGCACAATTTGATGCAAATAGATGTTTGTGACATAACCTCAAAATAGAGCGCTGACACGGAGAAGTAGAAAACTATGACAATCAAGGAGGCCATAAAGGCGCCCTACAATTGTAGGGACGACTGACGATACGGGCCTAAGTGATTTCAAATATGTATTTTTTACGACTTGAGTGTATCTAAAATGTTTTTGAGAAAATAAATTGTTTTAGAAGTAAATAGTCTCGTCATGTTTAGTTTATAAAGGCATATTTTGGTACAAATCTTGAAGTGGGCCAACTGAAGTGGGAAGGGGCTCCTAGGTCATTATTATTTCAATTTTTATTTTTCGATCTGGAATGACATAGATCCTGTTAAAAGCACGATTTTGAGGCGAACGACCCTACAGGCGTTTTAAGGATTTTCTTAAAGTTACAAACACTAATTTTTTCAGTTTGTTTGATTTTTTCAAACGGATGAATAACTTATGTCACATTCTAAAACAATTTGCCGAATTGACGCTGTACAATTTACTTCAACATAGGCCGACTATTTCTTTTTCTTCACTGACGATAAAGTTATTGGCATATCCTTCTTTTCGTTTTCTGTTCCAGTTTTGGAAAATAATGTCGAGTGGGATGGCGTCGATTGGGGAATCTCTGAGAATGAATTAGAGTTGACTCGGTTGCATTCTTTCTTGTTTTCCCGTAAATCAACAGAATGTCAATTTTTTCGTTTCTTGTATAGTTCTCTATTGTAAATTAACTAATAACAAATGCATTTTTAAAACGGACCGTATTTTTAATAACCTAGATTAAGTATTTGTTGAAGTAACCCTAGCAACAACACCTTCAATTGTTTGATAACTAGAATAATAGGACTTGCGCCTAGGTATACCGAATACAGATACGAATTATTTGTTGTTAGGTATGAGCGTTTCTTACAATTATTCAGAAAAGTAGTGAAAATTAAATGAGAGTGCGTAGTGTCAAATTATTCATAAGAAAATGGTCTCTTAGAAAAATCTGATAAGCCACCCCCTTTCTATTTGAAAAAATCAAGTAAACTGAAAAAATTGGTGTTTGTGTAACTTTTAGAAAATCTTTGAAACGACTGTAGTCATACGCCGCAAAATCGTATTTTTCACATGTTAAAAAATGAAGCGATCGAAAAATAAATATTGAAAAAAAAATGACTATTTGTCAAATATTGACAAGAGAGGCGATGGTGAGTTCGTAACGTCATTCTCGATAGAAATAAGTAAACATATATAGGGTGTCCCATTTAAAAATCAAAAGGAGGAGACGTTTCCGGTCAAACCGGAAGCACGTCAAAGCAACTGAATGTCAGAAAATGTAAACTTATCTACAATACGCAACTACCAAATTTTATTTTTCAATAATAAAAAAGTTATGGGAATGTGAATCACCTGGTATATAAGTGTATAGTAAACTCATATTTTTATAGAGAGCTGGCAGTGTATATGTTTTGTGCTTATTTGGCTTAGGCTACACACGTTGGCAGAATGCTATATTGATGCAAACTTTGCATAGGTGCTCGCATTTTGAATTAAATGTTCTTTGGGAACTATTACAGATGCATTGATCACTATAATATATAATAGAATCACCTAAAATTCAACTTTATTTTATATTTAATAACTTACAGTACAGATAGAAAAGTTAACATTTCATAGATATGCTAATAAAAGTTGATACAATCAAAAAATCTGTATCCCCAAATATTACAAATCAAATGCAATAAACATATCTGGCTAAAGTCATTCTCCCAAACAGAACAGATTTTCCAATTTTTTAAAAGAAACAATCTATCCACAAACTACCTGCAGTACTTTAATCTCATAAATGAACATAGCAGAACTAGATGAAGGAGTCTTATAAATTACGTACCAACCATTTTTTCACAAAATTTGGCCAATATGTAGAGCAAACATAGATTCACCATAAAACAATACATACAAATCTACTAGGTGTAATATAAAAATATAACAATACAGGATATATCTCCCAAAATTGTTTCACTTTAATCTAGAATTATAAATTCAATTTAATACAGCACAAATAGAAAATAGAATACATCTAGATGTTTTTTACTCTACTGATTGACCATTATGGAAGCTACAAAATAAACATGCTCTTATGCAGTTCGAAGAATGATATGAACCCCTGAATCAGTGAAGACAGGTTCAGACAGTTCCCCCACCTTTAAGGCAAAAGCTGCCTCTTCAAAAGGTTTTTGCATAGCATCCCTACCAAATGGTCCAAGGTCTCCACCTCGCTTTGCAGATGAACAGTCTGAGTATTTAGATGCCAGGTCAGCAAAAGATGCTTTACCTGAATTTATCTGCTCTCGATAGCCTGAAAATATGATTTACATCGTCAGTTATGGTCAGTTGAACAGGTAAAATTTTGGGATATTGTTTTGATGAACCCTAGGTGAAGACAAAGCCTACACCTACCTTTAACTAGTTCAAGAGCATCGTCTTTTGTACGGGTGATGTTGTCTTGCCTCCAAGAAGAAGGCCTACGTGAATCTTTGTGCTTAACCAACAGATGAGAGCACTGGACTTGATCCGGACCACTTGAAGACACTGGCTCTGCTGGTTTGTCTGGAACGTCCCATTGAGACTCTTTCGTGTATATGTTCAGGTAGTAGTGCTGGCCTAAAGCAAAATACGGTTATCATTTATAAATAATCGTTTAGGAATTAAACCAGGTTAACTATGCTTTGCGTTAGTAAAACGTAAACATCAAGGGAAAGTGCATACTAGATGCAATTTTGTAAAGGCTTTAATCATGTTCTAAGGATCATTATGAGACTATTCAGTGTATTAATTTAAATTTGAATTAATTGTGGAATCTTACCGGTAGACCGGCTTAAACGCTTTTCCCACCCAGCAGGCAATTGTTCGTCCGCCATTTTTCAAATGCACTGCGGTTGACAGCGTTGTCACGTTGTCAGATCAACATCGTTTCATGAATTGACATAAGCATGTCGGTGTTAAGTTATACTCCGTGCTGCTCAGTGTGTTGCATAAGCGTGTTATGCGTGTTCCATTATTTTTGTTCAGCTGCTTATAGAAATATATCCTATAACCTTTTGTCTCGTTTTGTGAATAAAACTAATCAAGTAATACACTTAAGTTCACGGACCATGAGTAAAACGGTTGTGTAAAAGCTGAAAATCTTCCAAAAATATGATTCATAGCATGTTAGATACGGAAACGGCCAAGCTGGCGGGTCGCAGGCGGTTGATTTTGTATTTTTTTTAATTTTGAAGCTGTAAGAAATTAAAAAAATAGACGTAGCTTAAGGCTTACAAGTAGAGAGGTAGAAATAATAATTATTGATGCCAGGCGATTATGATGCTGCTAACCATCTGTCAGGCGTCTCGAAATAATAATTGGAAATTTTGTCGGATATACAAGTAGGTACCTATATAATCTGCCTCGCATCTTCAATTAAATCCGTTTTCAATAATCATCATATCATATGGAAATTTTCAGGACAAAGTGATAATTTGACGTTATGTGTGAAACTCGAAATAAAATAGGGTAAACCGAGGAAAGATGGCTATAGGTTTTTTGATCTGTAACATTATTAATAATTGGGGTTTAACAAAAAATATAATATTTTAGGGTAGGGCATGGCCATTATTATTTGGTGCTATGTGTAAATTTATTATAAATATGGTTTTTCATTTTTTTGGTATTTTTTAAATGTGGGTCATCTCTCCTATAGTGTTTAGTAGAGATGGCCACATCTTAGAAGGTAAGATGGCCATATAAAATTTTAAGAAAATAATAAGTTTTATGAGAAATACTCGTAAAATACCAATGAGACTTTATTATTACGTATAACAATGAACTAAGTACATCATAAAGAAAAACAAAAAAACTAAATAGCCAATCCTTGTTCACATATGTTAAAACACCGATGAAGAGTGTGACGTATGGCCATCAAGTAGGAGAAGCGTTATGCCATCCGGTTTCCTGGGTGCAAAGCGTGTTTTTAGCCACCTTAACAATAAGTCGGTGTTCATGTACGCTGACTTCTCCGACCTAAACAGCTGAGAACCAGGAGGCATTTTGTCATAAAGTTCATGTTTTAAGTTTTTTCTTTTCATAATAGCGATAGGAGGAAGAAAGGTGCCCTCGGCGTTACAGCAGGCAACAACTGTTACAATCTCCCCCGGTCTTGTATTTAGTTGCAATCCACTATATTAAAAATACTTTTCGGGGTTTTCAAGAGATTGTTTTCTTCCAGAACTCTAAAGTAATCAACTACTTACTTTCTAGACATTGATGTGCACGTCGCCAATGCCAAACTTTCTGATTTTCTAACTGATATTTGTGGATGTCTGGTGAGAAACGAATGCAGCCAATCGTAACCAGCTTTCTGAAGCTCATTATTAAATTTACGTTTTAAGCCCAGCTGAACAGCAAATTTATAAGCTATGGTTCGCAAATCACCTCTAGTAAGTGGAAATCCACTTTTTTGCATTTCTTTAATATGTCGAATCAGTCTGTTTTCATGTGAAGCCCCAAAATAGTGCCTGGACCCAACTTTTTCTTATGATCTTTATTCTGTTTAATTCGCCTTTCTTTAACAGTACTCATTGCAGATTTTAGTTGCTCCTCGGTCTATTTGACTCTCAGCAATGATTTTCTTTTGTGAATATTTGGCGTCTAAAATAATTACCTAGGAAATAAGTGGGCCATCTCCCTTATTCTTCGAGGAAAGATGGTCATAGCATGATTTAGATGTTATAGACGTTAATTCGGGTAAAACGCTTAGACAACACAAAACACACCACACATGGTAAAATGAATATCAGACGGATTGTTGAAAATTAATAAAAGTTCATAAAATTTAGCTGGTGGAAAATTGTATTAAAAAACTATTAAACCCATGTAAACAGTGATTTTAAAATAACTTAGCTTTAAACTTAGTTAATTAGACCAAAGTTTCTAGTATAGCACAATCACATAACATTATATTACGCCATATTGAAAAAAATGCGCTCTAATAACTATTTTGTTTCATTTTACTGATGTCTTACTGTTATTTTGTCTCTAGTCTTGAGTTTTATTGACAATTGTTTTTTTTGTAACATCAACAGGAAAAATAAAGAATTTTAATTTGAATTTGGATTTAGGAAAATATCGAGTTGGGTCATCTCTAGTTTATGGCCATATCACCTCGATTTACCCTATTCAAATCAAGTCACATTTTGTCTGTCATCTTTTATTTGAGCGACACAAGCATCATCTCTAGGGAAGTATCCGGCAGGGGTATTACGTATCTTGAAAAGTGAAGTTATATCGATTTTTGACATTATACGGTTTTTTTTGACATTTTGTAGGTTTTTCTACAAGATGTTAACTTAGCGCTTAGTTGTACGTGTTGCCTAAACGTCATGAGGCTTCAGTTATCAATGTTTGGATCTGATGTGATGTAAAATCTGCTTCAGAGATGGCATTACTGGAGATCTAAGCTGTAAGTTGTATGTGTTGATGATTCTTGTCTCAAATACACTTAACTAAATGATACGGTGTTCAAATTAACAATTCACGATAAAACAAAGGTTAGGTTTTCTCATATGACAGCAACCTAAAGGCTACATAAAAATGCGTCTTTTTTTTATTAACCACCATTCATCGGAACCAGTTGCTGACGTCATCACATCAGCTGTCAACCATAAGTTCACCGGAGCCATCACTGATGGAATCAACCGGTGAATTAAAGATTATAGTCAACGCCAAACAAAGTGGCGTGCACGTCATCAAGGTGGGTGTGTTGAAAAATTTACATTGTTGCCAAACTTTTTGTAAAATAATAAAATTTATTATTTACATATCTAGGTTTATAAGCAATATTAACCTCAAATGAGAACAAAAATAATAGTATAATAAAATTATAGATCTGTACTTGCATAATCATTAAGTATGACAATTATTGATCAGATGACACTATGAAACTACCATATTTAATTGATAGCTTAAAGGTACTGAATAAAAATCCAAATGGGGTCCTCCAAATTTTATGCATGGTATTTATTTTACAGAATTCATACAGAAAAATGCATTCTAAAATTAGGTAAGCTACTGGTGTAAGCTTTTTCTGTACAATAAAGTTAGTCGGAGTTTCTTTCTTCAGCGCTGTCTGAATCTGAATCTTCATCACTCTCAAAGTTGATTATTAAAGGTTCGATGTCTGGTCGATCAAAAATTCGTTCTCTTTCATACCATTTAAAAATTTCTTGCTCAGTATGTCGAACACTATTTTTCCACATGTCTGGGGTAACCGTTTGTAGAGCCTCGTTCCACATATCCAAACAGTCTTTTTCACTGTTACCATCTCTACCAATATGTCTGTTATAGTAACCTTTTGCTATGCCCCAAATTAACTCAATAGGGTTAAATATACAATGGTAAGGAGGCAGACGAAGAACTTTGTGCCCATGTTGTTCCGCCAATTCATCAATCACGTATATTTTAGGTGGTTTGTTTCTAAAAAAGCAGTTATTTTAAGAATAGGAATAAACAAAAGAAATATAAACTGTCGACCAAAATATATATAATTAAGAAGCATGATGTACCGAGCAACAATACTCAATAGCTCTGTTTTAAACATTGTGTTTAAAAATGGTATGTTTTGATTTGTCAACCAGTCTTGGATATTTTTTTTTGTCCATGCATTGTTGGGCACTTTGTTCAATATCATGCTGTGATAAGGGGCGTTATCCAGTATAATCATAGATGGACTCTCCAATTTTTCTAATAACTGATGTTGAAACCATTTCAAAAAATTGTCCTGGTTCATCTCTCCATGGTAATCGCTCAATTTTGTTTTCGAAGAAAATATCGCTTCACTACCCTCAATAAACCCATTTTCATTTCCAGCATGTAATATAATGTATCTAAAATATATTAGTTTTAAATTTTATAGTGCAAATTGTGTAAAAGTACATACCTTTTACCATCTGTTTTAATAGCTTTCACGCTTTTTTGGTTTCCATTTTGCCAAGAGCGACCTATGGTCCCATTTTGAAATATCCAAGTTTCATCGAGGAAGACAAACTGGTATAAGGCCTCAACCTTGGCTTGATTGTATTGCCTTAGAAATTCCACCCTTTTCAAAGCTATACTTGGTAGTTCCATGAGCCCTCGTCGCGGATTGTCCTTAAGCCACTTAAATCCAAGATCTCTAAGCAACCGCCTTAAAGACGTGGCACTACCATCAAATAATGCCCTATCTCTTAATCGAGACCATAAAGTTTGTATCGTAACTTGTTCTTCTGAAACCATGTGTAATATAACATTATAATTTAGTTAACAAATTAATGCAAATTTCTGATAAGTTATTATAATAAGATCTTACTTTTGTGATACCTACATATTATAGATCACTTCTCGAATGGCACTTGTATCCAATGTCGCTGTGTTGGTTACACGTTTAATATAACTCCGCTTTTTCTTGGGCGATTCTAAATTTGCATCACTTTTCACACCCTCGGAAATACGACTAACTGTCCTTAAACTAATTTTTAAAGCAGCAGCAACACGCTACAAAAAATGAAATAAAATTTCACTATTATTAATATACATTACATATAATTATTAGTAACCTACCTCTTGAACAGCATTTAAAGGCAACAAAGGCCCGTTGTTGTCCCTTTCTTGCTCAAAGTAGTGCATTAACGAGGCCACGAGTTCCTTACACCGACTATTTAACTGTTTGGGCATCTTTATATACCAAAATTGCCTTTATCTACTCGTAAAATGAATAATTTTGTTTTGAAACAAACAGTTGTTGATTTACAGTATGCGGGGCCAAAGGATTTATAAAGATTTGAAATGCCACAAATTGATTCAGTGTCAAAATTAATACAAATGTCAGTTCCCAGTTTAAATAAGTTTCAAGGTGACAATGTGTCAACGCTGCGAAATCGGTTTAGTGCGTTTAGATGTCGATAAGTGATTGGAGCGTTTGCAAAACATTTTATTTCGCATAATGCGTCTAAATTTATCAGAAAGCAACTTATGTGAT